TGATTCTGTTTGGACGTTAAAATTTTGATTTTTGGTTTATTTGAGTATTTTGTAAATTTGATTCATGATTCTGTTTGGAAGTTAAAAATTAACAAGCTAACGGGCTAGGCCAGACCATTTGTTTTTTTATAAACGGGTCAAGCCAGGCTAACAGTTAGACTCGTATTAGGCTTGGGCCAGGCCAAATTGAAATTTTGCTATGTAGACTTGGGCTTTTCGAGGCAAAACTTGGCCCAGCCCAGCTCACTTTCACCCCTAGTGGTTGGTAGATAAGGAGACATCAAATAACTCGTGTAGGGCATACTACATTTGAACTTGGTTTAGCTTATTCTATAAACAAGTTAGGTTAACACCATTTATAATGCTATTTAGCTAAAAAAAACTAGTTTCAGCCATGACGGATATATAATTAAATAATACAATATAAAGGTTACATAAGGGACCATCCAATGCCACTTTTATTGTTGTAATATATGTAACTTGCAAAAACAATTTAAAAATGGAGTTGCCTTTTACCTTTGACGAAATGCGTAATTTATAATCTTAAGGGGATTTATTTTACCCCACACACAGAGAGAGATATCAAACAAAGTGAACAATAAAATTCTAAAATCTAATTAATAAGTATGGCAATAAAAACGAGAATACACTCCCCTGTCTCTCTTATCTCTATTCTTCTTCTAATTCTTCTTAGTAATTTTACAACACGTTATCAGTTATTAGCACGATAATTTCTAACGCCCCTCTCTATCTCTCTCAATGTGTCCTAAGAATACCGAGAAGAAGATGTAGTTAAACACATCCATATTCTACTGAATATACTGCGGTGATGCCGCCAAGCTCCGCGACGCACAACAATGATCAGAAAAAATACTCTGGTTGAGAACCTAATGGCGACAGGTACGCACACGTCGAATAATCCTTATTTTTTTGGTATGCATTCAATTTGAAAAGTGACAATGAAAAGTGAAGTTATAAAATGTATTATAAAATATATTTCTTTCGACAATGTTAAGTCTTAGAAATGTAGGACCGTCACCGGGCAAGTTTCAACCTTCCTTTATTATAATATTATGGAAATGATTAAAGGATATATTAAAATACTCATTATGAGAAAATGAATATTCATTCCATTGTGCTTTAGTATTATGTGTGCTGCTTTGTTTTATGTACCATTTTATGTGCTTTCTGCGTATAGTGATTTTAAATTTTTATCATGAAATTTGCTATTGCACCAATATTATCTATCATTATTTGATATTAATTACTAATATTAATGCATTAATGCATCTTGGAATTACATTGTAATTGATATTGGCATATCATTGGAGATGCATCTATTGTTTGGTTTGTGAGCTAAAATCGCATATGATAGAATTTGAACACATGCTTATGGAGTTAACTATTATGTATTTCTTGTCTCTGAATTGGTCTCTCTCCAATGGAAGTTACAATGTTTCTGCTCCATTTACAAACAATTCTTATTGTATCTGATGATAAACTCATAAAACTAAAGTACGGTGTTAAATTTCTTAGGTAAAGCAAAAGTCATATGAGCATGCCACTTTATTTGCAAGATCATTAGAAGCAGCCCACTAATTTAACATGCATATTCGTACTTGTTCCTAATTATATGGCTTCAGTATTATTTTATTTATATGGATGATAAATAAATCTAAACTGATTCAACATGAAGTTCTACTTTTCATTTTTGGATCTATTTTTACTCCCATAACTCATCATGGTTATCTTTTGCTATTATTTTCTTTCATTCAATTAATTTTGATGGACCTGATGGGTTGCAACCGAATGATATCGATTGTAGGACTTCTTGTTCCGATTTAATAAGTTATGTGCAAATATAATACTTTTGCCATAGCATATTTCTTTTGTATATTTAACATTAATATGCATATGTGGCTTAATTTAACATTGTAAAAGTATAAATGCACTTATACTCCTGAAGTGGCAAAAGATATTTGAGAAATTATATATCCTCGTACTCAGGTGTCTTATGCTCCTGAAGTAGCAATGATGTTTGATAACAATCCTTATTATTAATTTAAAGATTTTCCAATATATATAGTGTTATGTCAAATGTTAAAAAGTCATATTTTCATATCTTTGAAGTGAGTGAAAATAATTATAATTTTTGGACATGTTGTTTCAAAAGCATTGCCTGAAGCAAATGCCAAATCTATGAAAGATTCTAGATATTTTGTGAGCTATGAGCACAAGTAATGACATAACTAATAACATAACCCTGAAAGGATGATAGAAATCCAAAATTGGATCAAATCATGAAAAGGAAGGGAGCTAAACGAAAGTGGCTAAATGAAATGAATATGGCAAATTAAATTAAGGGCAAGTATTATGAATGTCATGCCATTGAAATTAACCTCAATGTTGAGGCTAACAATATCTTTATTCGTTATTGCTCCTGAAGTAGCAAAATCCGAATTATTTTATCAATTACCTATATACAAAATGATTTTAATGCCTCCATATGTGATGCATGTAATCACACATATCGTTATACTATTATTACTACAAATATTGCAGGTAAGAAATGTGTATAAAAAGAAAAATTACCTGTTTTGCTTCCAATATATATTAGCATGATTGAAAAACATGTCTTGGTAAATCAAAAGGATATTGATTATAATAACTATATTATTTGACATGACCGGATAGACCATCCCGGATCAAATATGATGCGAAATATTATTGAAAATTCATATGATCATGCATTGAAGAACCAGAAGATTCTTCGATTTATTGAAAATTTATTGAATTTTCTTGTGCTGCTAGTTCTCAAGGGAAATTATCACCGGCTAAAGTTGAGATTCAATCTCTTACATTTTTAAAATACATATAGGGTGAAAAATATGGGCCCATTCACCCATCATGTGGACCTTTCAAATAATATGAATTTAATAGATGCATCTACAAAATGGCCACATGTTTGTCTATCTTGACATTTGTGAGATTGTTTGCTCAAATAATAATATTAAGAGTACAATAAAGACAATTTGTCTTCATAATGATGGTGAATTTATATATTAGCGAAATTATTTATTAAATGTCTTCAATTGATTACTAGAACATTGCCTATGAGAACAAGGCTTCCTATTTTTGCATGGGAATATGCTATATTTTATGCTGCAGTACTTGTACGCATCATGCCAATAAGTTATAATCTCCCCATTACATTGGCTTATGGTCAGGAGCCAAATAATATTTTTGATGTGCGATTTATATTCTAATTACTCCACCACAACGCACAAAGATGAATCCCAAATATAATTGGGAAATATGTTGGATATGAATTTCCTTATATAATATCCTGAAATAATGACTGGAGATTTAGTGGATTGTTGTTATCAGTCTTTCCAACATGAGGGGGAAAGAATAAACAGTTGGAAAATTTATTATTATCTCATATAAATCCTCGCACAAAGTAAACATGAGAAAAGATATTATATATCGACTGCCAGATGATTTCACTGACCAATAAGTCTAATATTCCAACTGTAAATGCTCCAATTCATATTGTACAAAGGATAAAAATCCTCAAAAAGGGAGGAGGAGAAAATGATTAAGATGATCATAATATGGAGACACAAAGACATAACTTTGATCAAACCTCAAGGGAGGTTCAGGTACATGAAAATAATGAAAATAATGAAAATGAAGAGATATCGTAGTTATGTCATTACAGGAAAAAGTTGGAACCGTAAAGATATAGTTGTTGACAACATTTTGCATAAAATGAAATGATGAAACAAGACGAGTGTAACACCCCGTAGTACCCCGGTTGTTAACATACATGATATTTAACATTCACAGCGGAAGACTTTATTTGAAAAGGAATAAAGCATCTTATAAAAATACGAGTAAACTTTTTCCAAAATATTTCATAAAAACATTTCTAAAAACGTTCACGTCAGATACTGCGAAAGCGTAAATCTAAATATACATCTACTAATTAATCCCAAGAGCCAGTATTAGTGGCCATTGACCATCAAGATATGACATCAAGTGTCATTCCTGACGGAGTCTCACGGACAGCATAACGGCTGTATTTCGGATAACTAGAAACATGATTCCACACATACAGATAACCTAATTAATACAACAATTTAAACAGATAGCTTGCAAGTCCCACACGGACTCCAATCCCCTCAATGGGTCAATAACACTAATAAGGCTCTATGCCCAAATTAACTGAATACATGCATCAAGTCTATATTAATTCGAAGTATAAAAGTATCAGTAAATAATCCATGGCTCTAAGAATACTATCATAAGCCTAAATAAATACATACAATAATCTCCATAAAATAATTAAGCATGTTAACAAGTCTACATGCCAACATCAAATCTAAACATAATATAAAATCATCAGCTGCATCATCAACTACTCCAATGCGGGGGCCTTGCCCCTAGAAGCATCACCACTACTCTGGGTACCTGAAATGATGTCCCCAAACGGGGTAAGATAACAACATCTCAGTAAGCTCAAGGTTCATAGAGGATCCTCTAACCCCTGAGCCCACTTCCTGCATAACAAGTCAGATATAAAGCATATAATACAGACATACAGCATAAACATAGCATCATAATATCATCCTTGTGTAACCCCAGGGTCAAAGCCATAGACGGTTACACATGTGTGACTTCCAGGGTCAAGCCATAGACAGTCAACACAACCTCAGTATGAAATAGCTCACAGAGTCAAGTCATAGGCAGCCTACATACCATGATCACTGGCTAGGATCCTCATAACATATATCATCAGTGCATCATCATAACATCAAGATCATATAACATCTATATGAATGTGAATGAATGCACATATACGTCATACCATATACTTCCATACAATATAACCATAATGTCCACCATCATGGTGGGGCCACAAGAGAGAGGAGTCAACTAGAACTAGGAGCTTACCTTAGGGAGCTTAGTACAAGCCCACACTCCAATATAATACGTATGCTCCAACAAAATCCTCAAGTGCACGGTTCTCTAGGCACACCTAGAGTAGGAACCATTCACATCATTAATTACATATTAATTAATCAAGTCATCTCCACGACTTAATCATTTAATGATTCCACTTTTCATACTCATATGCCAATAATATGCCCATTACAAGCCTAGACCAATTATTACTTATTACATATTTTAGTGCATTATTACAAGCCACTTTAATCTTCAATTACTTGCATAGCTTAGAATCACATGCAAGGATCACTTAGATTATTTTCAACTCATCCTAGACATATTTATGATTATTATAAGTTACTAAGGGTTCCCCTAAGCCCACTTAGCTTAAATATCACTTTTACGGTTTTTCCATAATTGTACATGCTTCTGTTTTCTAGTTACTGGGCGTGACTCACTTGTTATAAAATTCTCATCTTTTAGTACGTTAATCTAGACTCAATTACCTTTCCAACAAGGTATCATATGCCTCATTTTAAGTTTCCTAGCTCCGGTTATCACCATTTGAAGTTGGACAAACAAAGCTGTTTGCCAACTCCGAACAGGGCCCTAAACATCCTTTACCATTTCTGCGATTATGGAAATTCTACTAAATTAATTGCTCTAAAAATTTTATTTAGACAATTAGACACCTTTATATTTAATTATACATATTATGAGCCTAATTTGAGTAATAATTGAGGGAGAAATAATTCATGGAAGTGCCAGCCATGTACAGCGCCCCTGCACATGCCTCCCTGTGCAGTCCTCACTCAAACGAACATACAGAATGGAATATATCTTCAATTGATACCAAATTTGGACACCACGTAGATAACTTCTCAATCTTCAATTTGATATAAGGCACATCCCTATATGACCTCTGTGGAGGGAGATATGCTCTCCCCAATGTTGTCTAAAAACTGGTTACTTAGCCTTAAATGTGTTTACTTAACAAACCTTAATTACTTTTGATTATAAATCCTAATTCACATTAATTCTTGGATTTTTCTATTATTAAGTCACATTATGAAATATCCTTAGTCTCATTATGTCATGATACTTAAATTTTACTAATTATTTAATTAGTGTACCTAAACCTTACTTTAGTCCAATTTTAGAGTTAAATCCTTGATTACTTTTGTTAATTAATCTCTACCCTTAATTAATCACCTAATTCATCATCTCCTTAATTTTAACACAACTAAACCCTTATGTACTTTATGGGGCAGATTTGATTAGCTATATTAATTAGGATTTTTAGCCATTATTAATCATGATTAGTGAGTTTTACTTAGAGTTAACCCACCTAGTTAATCTTTCTAATCATTTTTCCACACTTAACAACTTAATCACATTTTTTTGTCATCAAACCCTATCCTTACATGATATGGCTGAAATGTTCATGGTCCATTTTTGAGTTCATAGTCATCTTTTTACATGAACATCACTCAAAGGTCCAAAGGTGGCACCTTTAGTCATCCAATCCATCATTCCATGGTTCCAAACACACACACACTTAAGAATCATCATCAAACCATGACATTACGAAATTTTAAACAACATTCTCCTCATGAACATATCAAAACCAAGGCACTCAACAAGAAAAAAGGAGGCTTTTTGGTTCATATTTCCCAAGTGGGAGCTTACATCTTCAAGGTTTCTCCTTTAGCTCAAGTCTCCACCTTTTTCCACCAAGAACACACCTTTAGGCAAGCACACACCTTCATGAACATGCTCATGAGTTAGGCTCAAGAACATAAGAAGAAAAGATGATATTTTTCATGAAAAAAATTTAAGAACACTTACCCAAAAATCAAAGGAAACAAGCAAGCAAGTGTGATTCTTCAAGAGAGCTCAAGAACACAACTCCATAGCCTTTGCTCTCCACAAAACCATGGCTGTTTGGGATGATAAGGGACACGAAATTTTTGATTCACACCATGAAAATGGTATGGTTGTGAAGAGGAGAGTGAGGGGAACAATCTTTGTGAAGGAAGTTTGGTGGTTTAGAGAGATTTAGGTGAAGAAATCTTAGAGAGAAGTGAGAGAGTTTTCAAAATTTGAAACTTAGAGAGAGAAGGAGGTGAAGGGGCTGCTGATCAGAAATGGAAGGGAAGGAGAGGAGGGTGCCCTAATGAGGGGTGCCATGTCACTTAAGTGATATTCGTCCTTTAGTGAGACCCGGTGTAATTTTTAACTGATCCGTCGTCAAATTTTTACCCGGAAACTCTCAAGACTCTAACTTTAAGTACTTAACATTAATTTTGTCTAATTATCATGTTCATAACTTAAAAATTTGATTAGTAGATCACAGATCCACTAACAGTTGTTTAATTGCACTGTAGTCTTTACCGGTGTTCTTAACTGTACCCGGATTTCATAATCTTCTTAACTTTAACATTTTTGGTCTAATTATGACTTGTTAGGCATATATTGGTCTTTATTTCTATTTTCTTATCTTTTTCCTGTTCCGGGATTCTACCGGATGCTGCTACAGCAGTACAAAATACCCAGCAGAAGTGACTTTTCAAAAATACCCCAATATGGGTATCAATCTTCACCAAAGCATATCCTAACCTCATTCATGATGTTTATATCATTAGATTAGCTCTCTAACTATAATTTGCTAACTTGGAGCTATTCTACTAACTGTTATTACGTCAGCAGTCAAATTTAACAGATAAAAATTCATCTGTGCATAATACCTCAATATGGGTATCAAAATTCTTATAATTTTATGCTCATTCCATTTATGACTATAAGGTCCTCATTATAACCCTCTAATTTAAAAGTCATATAATTAGGGTTATTATATTCACCACACTTTTTAAAAGATTTTGTCCTCAAAATCAGATCATACCTGATATCAAAATCGGGATATTGCCGGAGAATATCATCCTCCCGCTCCCATGTGGCATCCTCTTGTGTCAATCCTTCCCATTGGATCTTGATCATGGGAATAACTCTATTTCGAAGTTGTTTCTCATCTCGAGCAAGAACCTTAGAAGGTCCAACAACGAACTTCAGGTCCTTCTTAACCTCTATGTCATCATACTGTACAATGTGTGAATCATCAGATATATATCTGCGGAGTTGACTCACATGGAAAACGTCATGTAAATTCGCCAAGTTGGGACGTAGAGCAAGTTGATACGCCACCGGTCCGACCCTCTTTATTATCTGGTAGGGCCCAATGAACCGTGGACTCAACTTCCTCACTCCCAAGGCACGCCCAACACCTGTAGTAGGTGATAGTCGGATGAATACATGATCCACTTCAGAAAACTCAAGGGGTCTGTGCTTGGCATCATAGTAACTCTTCTGACGGCTCTGGGCTTTCTTCAGCCTATCTCTGATCATCTCAATCTGCTTCGTAGTCTCTTGGACCAAGTCTGGCCCCAATAACTGTCTTTCTCCGATCTCCGTCCAATAAGTAGGTGCTCTACACCTACGGCCATACAAGGCCTCATAAGGAGCCATGCCCAGACTGGCATGATAACTGTTGTCGTAGGAGAACTCAACCAGTGGCAGGTACTTGTCCCAAGTATTACCCTGCTCAAGCACACACGCTCTCAGCATGTCCTCTAGTGTCTGAATGGTCCTCTCTGTCTGCGGGTGATAAGCAGTACTCAATCTCAATTGAGTACCAAAGGCCTCATGTAACGCTTCCCAAAAGCGTGAAGTAAACTTCGGATCCCGATCGCTAACTATGCTTTCGGGAATGCCATGAAGCTTCACAATCTCTCTAACATATAGTTTGGCTAGCTGCTCTGTGGAGAAGGTCGTCTTGACTGGAATGAAATGGGCGGATTTAGTCAACCTATCAACCACAACCCATATGGAATCAAATCCAGCCTGGCTTCTTGGTAATCCAACAACAAAGTCCATGGATATACTCATCCACTTCCACTCCGGAATATCTAATGGTTATAGCAAACCAGAAGGCTTCTGATGCTCAATTTTTACCTTCTGACAAATAAGGCACTTATTCACAAACTGGGCTATGTCTTTCTTCATCCCAGACCACCGAAAATTCTGTTTCAAATCTTGGTACATCTTAGTTGCACCTGGGTGGATGGTGTACTTACCCATATGACCCTCTGTTAACACTTCTTCTACCATTGGTCCCTTCGGGACAATTAACCGATCTTTGTAGTATTTCACATGAGAAGCATCGGTGAACACAAAATCTTGCTCTTTCATCATTTGGATCCCTTCATCAAGCACTTGGGCCGCTTTAACTTTTTCCATTAACGAATTTTGGACTTCGACCGTAGTCATGAAATATGAAGTCTCAAATGGTGTCACAGAAATTCGCAAATCCCTGAACTCCTCAATCAAATCATACTCTGCAATCATCATGCTAGCCACACCCGTGGTCTTTCTGCTCAAGGCATCAGCCACTACATTCGCCTTTCCAGGGTGATACTGAAGGTAAAACTCATAATCCTTCAGGAATTCCATCCATCTCCTTTGTCTCATATTAAGCTCCTTTTGATCGAATAGATACTTCAAGCTTTTGTGATTACTAAAAACTGTGAAGGTAGCACCATACAAGAAGTGTCTCCATATTTTCAATGCAAAAACCACGGTCGCTAACTCAAGATCATGAGTAGGGTAATTCTCTTCATGTGGTCTCAACTGTCTAGAAGCATAGGCCACTACCTTTCGCTCCTGCATCAACACACACCCTAATCCATACTTGGATGCATCACAATAGATCTCAAATCTCTTCTTCGGATCAGGAAGAATCAGAACCGGTGCGGTAGTCAACTTATCTTTCAATTCTTGAAAACTCACATCACACCCAAGGGTCCATGCAAATGGCACCCCTTTTCGGGTCAACCTAGTCAATGGCAAGGCAATTCTGGAGAATCCATTAATAAACCGCCTGTAGTATCCTGCTAAACCCAGAAAACTTCGGATCTCAGTAACACTCTTGGGTCTCTCCCAATCCAGCACAGCTTCAATTTTACTCGGATCAACAGCCACTTTTGTAGATGATATGACGTGTCCAAGAAACTGGATCTCATGTAACCAAAACTCACACTTGGATGGTTTGGCATATAACTGATGCTCCCTTAAAATCTGTAGAACTATCTTCAAATGCTCTGCATATTCTTCCTTACTTTTGGAGTAGATCAGAATATCATCAATGAATACCACAACAAACTGATCTAAATTAATTAATAATGTCTTGGACCATCCAAGCCCATTACAACAATCCATGCGCCCTTTTCCCTCTAAGGTGAGCATCCAAACTTCTTCTTGGGCTAACAACCATTATTAGGCCCAAAAACTTTAATGCTATAATGTCAAGACAATAAGGTGTTAGTGTGTGACCCATTAGGCCTAACTTAGCCACTGACATAAATGGGCTTGGGCTCAATAAGACCACAACCCATTTAATGACAACATAGAGCACTAGGAATGCTTTGTTGCCCCAGAGCTAGTTAGGTTAATGACATGATCATCCTATTAAATGTATTTGGTTACCGTATGTATTTCCTTTCGTCTCGGTTACCTTCCCATTAAACCTAGGGAGATGAGATGTATCAACCCTTGCGGTTTAGGGTAAGCTTTAATTCGAAATAGGAAATCTTCAATTTACTGACTCTAAAGGCAGATCATCTCATGATCTCTTTTACTATGCATAGATTCCCGAGTCCCGTAAATGTCATCCTAATTTCTCCGGTTTACAGATAACTTAATCTCTCACAGAGATTTGACGAATTCCTTCAGCTTATTACCCTAGGCTTGTGTTCTTTCAGGACATGCCCAAAGGTATACCTATGAATCTCCATGTTTCAGGAAGACGATATATACAATCAAAACATGCATCTAGAACATAGTCTAGGTGAAAAACTTTTGGTTTAAGGAAAGACATACCCAAAAAATAAGAGGCTGCTCTAATGATACTATTTGTGAGATTTCCTCATAGAGCCTCTTTGTGGGTCTGTTCAGTGCGAGCTATACCCTTATAGGTCCACTCACGACTTTAGCTAAGACATCTCCATATCTGTAGCTCATGAGGTCTTTACCTTGTATCCGAATACAAGTAGATAAGTCGTGCTAGTCTTACCCGAGATTACTGATCCCCATTTTTAGTGTCTCTAGACTAGGAACATAAAATTAGGAATAAATATCTAGTATCCTTGAATCCTCATGATCGTGATCTCATCACAAATATTCAAGAGATACCTATTCTATTCCAAAGGGTTTATCCAGTTACTCATATATAAACAATGATATTGAGACAAAATATGAAACATGATAAAGAGTGCTTACGATTTATTTGCGACAATATGAAAGGTACACATATGTCCTAATCTAATCAAAAGATTGTCTCTAGGACATCCATATACTAACAAGCTCCCATTTGGCCTAGAGCCAATCAGACCTAAGATGTATACCCAAAGCCTCATAATGACTATCATGTTTTCTCTGAGAAACAGCCTTCGTCCGAGAATCAGCCAGGTTATCATCAGTGGGAACATAATCCATATCTACATCCATTCTATCAATGATTTCTCTAATCAGGTGATATCTGCGGAGCACATGCTTAGATCTTTGATGAGACCTAGGTTCCTTTGACTGCGCAATGGCTTCAGTGTTGTCGCAAAGCAATTGTATGGGGTCATCCACGCTTGGAACCACCCTTAGTTCATATATGAACTTCTTGATCCACACGGCCTCCTTAGCCGCTTCTGAACCAGCTATGTATTCAGCTTCTGTCGTTGAATCTATTGTAGTCTCCTGCTTGGAACTCTTCCAAGACACTGCCCCACCATTTAAGGTGAATACGAACCCTGACTGTGACTTGCAGTCATCTTTGTTACTTTGAAAGCTGGCATCAGTGAATCCTTTCACTGAAAGCTCATCCATCCCACCATAGACCAGAAATACATTCTTAGTTCTTCTTAAGTACTTAAAGATGGTCTTGACTGCTGTCCAGTGACCCTCACCAGGGTCAGAATGGTATCTGCTCGTAATGCTCAAAGCATATGAGACATCTGGTCTCGTACATATCACGGCATACATGATGGATCCAATAGCTGAAGCGTATGAAATTCCACTCATGCGATCCTTCTCAGGTTGTGTCTTAGGACACATAGCCTTGGAAAAATGTACCCCATGACTGACGAGAAGAAAACCCCTTTTCGACCCTTTCATGCTAAACCTCTTTAGAATCTTGTCAATATACGTGGATTGAGATAAACCCAGCAGCCTCTTGGATCTATCTCTATTGATCTTTATACTAAGTACAAAGGCTGCTTATCCCAAATCCTTCATGGAGAAGCTTTTTGAAAGCCAGTCTTTTTTTGTTTGTAATGTGGGGATGTCATTTCCTATTAGTAA